TTACTGTTTAGATAAACAGATTGCAGTTTCAGACAGATGTTTCCCTCACCACAAAGAGTATCCACCAATAAGGTCTTATTCTGGAGGTCTGATGTTATCCCCTAAAGGCCGGTGCAGCTCAATATATGCAAAACTTTGAAAACATTGACACATGCAACCCACCTGCCTGACAGTTCTGGGGGTCTAGCTTAGAGATGCATGATTTTTACAAATTGCTTTATTTTTACACCATACTCTGAGCTGAGAGTGAAAGCAGAGATCATTCTGCATCATAAACTTTGCATAATTACAAACTTGTTATGGTTATTAGTGTTATTATTGTATGGTGCCTTGTTAGGCTGGACCATACACTTTATTTCCCCTCACATACATTTTAGCAGGGATATGATTATACTATGGTAACGCTGCCCAGGTTTATAGGTGTCTTGCACATGTCCCTCTCAATATATGGGATTAATATTTTATCAGTCAGGGTGACCATTTACTTTAAAATAGTTTTGGTCTGATTGACTGAACTTGGACCCTGTAACAACTGTCCAAGCTGCAGGAAAAATGAATGATTTAGCCTGCACGACTGCAATTCACATTATCAGCAAGCAGCGATTCATATGCAGTCTCCTAGAACACAATGAGCTATTGGAGTCTGGACATGGTGTACTCCCAATTCTGAGAGAATATCCAAACTATTAATAGCCAAACCCACATACAGGAACAAATGTCATGCTCTGTGGTTATCTCAAACAAAAAGCTGTACAAATACTTCCAACCACAACAGGTATCCCAACACAGAGAAGGAGAGGGTGCGGAATAAAATCCAGCCACAAACAATATTGCAAAATAAATTAATAATAAATATATAAATAAAAAGAACGAAAATCCAAAAACAACTTGAAACATCAAACCTAATCTTGCAACCATGATACAAAACGGTCACCCATTTCAAACATATAATGTGAAATACACGTTATACTATCACTTGAAAATCAGGTTCTTGCTCCACTGACTCAATACAGTTCTTCAGATACATGGTTACCAAGAGAGTGATTATGGCACTATTTCAAAGGGTTACTCCAACCACCATGACCACTTCTGCTTTTAACAGTGGTCATTGTGGAAGAGATCTGTATGTGCAGCATTTCTGCTTGAAGATATTTGCACTTTTGTGCCGGGGACTAGTTAAACTCTGTTTCAGGCTGCCTAATGTTAGGGGCACTGCGAGATATTTTCCTGGTACTGGGAACTGTGCCTCCCTCTCCCCTGCTGGCTCTGCAGGACAGGAGATCAGAGATCTCCCTCTCTGGCCCACTAGCACTGTAATGAGAGGGAGAGAGGACCCAAGGGAGCTCTAACCTGCAGCTCCGCTGGGTTCTCCTCTCGCAAGCTGGAAACGTTGCCGCCGTTACCACAACAACGCTTTGAATCTCGCGAAAATGAACTCTAGCCTCAGGAGCTGCTAGAGTTTACTCTCACCACTGGGACCACCAGGGCTTCTCCGCAGGACCACCAGGGATTAGTACTGTCCCCCCTCCCAGGCAAAGGTCACAAACACAATGCACCCTCGTACACACACTGCACCCCTCACATGCACACACACTGCATCCCTCACACACTGCAACCCTACCCCCTACTACAGCCTCTGTCCCGGCAGATCCCAGGTAAATTGTGAAACTGTTCTTAAACAGTTTGTCTACTTACCCTGGGAGGGCAGCACGGCACTCTAGGCACCATAACAACTGCAGAGTGCTGTAGTGGTTATTATGCCTGGATTGTTTCTTTAAATAATCTACCAGTGCCCCTCCCAAGATTAGGTTATGCATCTGCGCATGAATAGCAAGCATTTCTGCCAAACAGGGGCCCAGCATATGCTGCAGCACTGCACATATATACAACCTAGAAAATTGTTTTGACTTGGGTCGCCTTAGAAAAATATTGAAATACTAAGGGTGCCTTGAACCTAAAAAGTTTGAGAAACACAGGTCTACCCTTATAGGCTGCCCAGGGAGGATGCCTGCATGAAGAAACTTCAACGTCCCCTCCCTCTTGGTTTTAATCCCTACCAGCCTTCCCCACCTCCCTCCATTTATTCAAATTAATTTGTCCACCCCCAGCTCAGAGTGTGTGAATGCGCTCGTGAGGGAGGCAGTGATGTCAGACAGGGAGTTGAAAATAGCGTGGGAAGTTTCTTAGGGTTGCTGCCTTGTTGTTTATTATTTTCTGTTATTAGGCACTGACCCAATTGTGTGTTTTTAATGCCCACAAGTGCAGGTTAATTAAAAATATAAACTTAAAAAGAGTTGGACTAATCCTTTTGAGTATCCCAACCAAGGTCTCATTTCCAATGTCATCGCTACATTTTACCTGCCAGTGCAGATGCCAGTCTCTACTTTTAATTTTATATTTTATCAAAACATTAATTATACAACTGCATAAAGGAGGTCCTGAAATTTTATGGATAATAGGTCCATTTTAAGATGTTTAAGTTTTTCTTACCATCTGATGCACTAAAAGATTTTTTTCCGGCAGGAGGGTGTTTTTTGCTTGGTACAAACAATCCAGCATCTGGATCAATTTCATCATCGAACAGAGCTCTTGTCAGGTTTGGTCTGACATTGGGTTCTTCAATCTTCTTTGGTTTTGTCGGATTCTTTTTCCTCTTGGTCCTTTATCAACAAAAAGAATTGAGAATATAAAAAACATGAAACAATACAGAAGGGATCAAAATTACAAACAATAGTGATAAGACATTTAATAGTTACAATTTCAAATATCTATCTATTGCTGTAAATTGAAAACATAATACTACAATTTCATGTAAGGATACGCTTGCAATCTTGCCAGTATTGTCTCCTCAAGTTATCAAGCGGGTGGTTTTTGAGTCTAACCATGATAGCTATCACCAATCTCTCATGCTCAATGTTAATATGTGGTCACCAAAATCAGCTCTGAATTTAAAAAAACAAAAATATAAAAAAAAATTATAATGATGCATAACTGACCACAAGAATATTTAGGGCCCCCACCCACGGCTAAGGGGTGAGGGGCCAGGGGTGGGGGCCAGGGGGGAGGACAGTAGGTCCCCCCCTAATTTGTATTTAGGGCCCCCTTCCGCCGCTCAGGGGTGGGGGCTAGGGGGGAGGACAATAGGTCCTTATTCTAGTTTAGGGCCCCCACCCACCGCTCAGGGGTGGGGGCCAAAGGGGGGGACATTAGGCCCCCCCTTATTTTAGTTTGAGGACAATAGGTCCTCCCCCCTTTTTTTACTTTAGGGCCCCCACCCGCTGCTCAGTGGTGGGGGCCAGGGGGGGGGATAATAGGATCCCCTTAGTTTAAAAGCCCCCACTTGCGCGTCATGGGTGCTCGGGAGGGGGGAGCATTTTTTAAACAGGCTGCTCACTGTTTAATAGACATGCCCCTACTTGCGGTATAGCGAGTAGGGGCAAATTTTACTAATACTAAGTGTGACGAGACCAATCTCGCCACTGTGCATTGGAGGAGCCTGGTTGCCTGCCTGCTGCCTTTTGACTATGGACCGTCATTTAAATACTTTACTTTCCTATTTCAGAAAGGTCTATTCATGTATTTCTGCCCGGGCGTTCGGTAGATTCTAGCTACCGAACAAACAGCTGTCTATTGGCCTCCTAGGAGCCATGTTTAGCTGGCAGGCGCCGTTAATTGGCTGCCCAGAAGCCGGCGAGCGCCGCCAATTGACCACCCAGTAGCTGCGGGTAACCGCAGCTTAATTGACTATACTGGGTGGCCGCGGCTATGCATACTGAACACTGGATGGCAGCAGTCTGCAGTTCACACGCGGCCGGTTCATTCACGGATTTACTGAATGAACTCATTCGTGTAATAAAAGACTTTGGCTCCATGGCAATTGAACTGTATGTGTGTGGTCTGAGCACCATTCAGTAATAATGTGCGCTCAGACCTAAGCTATCTGGGGATATGTTGCATGTCTGTATTTTATGTAATAAATGTAACCTTGTGTATTTTATTGTATTTTACTGTCTTTTTACTGCCATGTGTTTAATGGAGTTTTGCCTCTGTTCTTGGAGATAATTGGATTACTTCCCAATTATCTCCAGGATAGAGAGGAGGAATTGTGATGTCATTGTGGGAGTGTTTATCTGTGTTGTATGTTTTGATTGGATGTTCCACAAAACCCTGTGGGTGGGACTTTGTCTGTAAAATGTGTATATAAGGCCAATAAAGACACAGCTCAGTCTGTTCCTGCTTGACTCTCAAAACGGAGCCTTGTCTTGTTCTTTGGGGGGGATTTATTGTATGCTGTTCCAGTTCGACTGCTAGGAGTGTAAACCTATTCGTATGGTTTTTCCTATTCGGCTGTTTACAGCATTCGTATGGTTCCGGTTCGGCTGTTTACGGCATTCATATGGTTTCCTGTTCGGCAGATTGGTGTCTTTGGTAGCTGCCTGTGTATCTGGAAGGGGAATATCCTCTAAATGGCTTTTAACCCCTTTTATGCCCGAGGTGCCGTTACACTAAGTAATCTTTACTTAGTATTAGTAAATTTGGCTGAAAGACCAATTTAGGTCTTTCAGCCTTTTGGTAGATAGCTCTCTAATACCGTTGGAATTAGTGAGTTATCTATCAAGCGGCTGCAAGAGAAGTCCCGAAATGCCGGAGTGTCGAATTGCCTAAGTCCTGAATTTCGGAATGCCGAACCAAGCCGAATATTTTCCCCATGCACATGCCTATAAAATAGCACTAGATGGAATCTTTGATTTTAGCTTTGGAAGAACATCTAAAAAATCTACAGCATGGCTGTCAGGAGGATCACCAGAATTATCCATTTGAGAGAGGGTTGGAGTGTAGGGTATTCTCTTTCATTGTTCAAACTGAGCTCAACTCCTGATGCATGGAGAAAAGGCCTTCACAAGCCTCTACTAATGTGTATATAGTTTATACTAAGTGACCCATAGGTTGAGGAGGGGGTGACCGTGGCGGAGTAGGCGGAAGCGGCGGTGGAGGAGGAGGATGAGGTAGCCAACACTGTTTATATATCTTTCCTGGTAAAATATTTTATAAATAAATAAATAAATAATATATATATATTTTTTTTTAATTGTGGTAGTCCACAAAATATTGGGACATATAAAAAAGACAACTCTGTTCTGCAGAGTAGCTGTTGACATTATAGTTGCGCAGGCACTTTGTTGACTCTAGAGAACCTCGGGCCAATCGCACATCCCCATGATGGCGACTTTGCATTCGGATGTCATTCATATCAACTTTTGATGCCAGTTTCTGCGCCTACCATGGTGACCACGGATAACGGGGAATCAGGGCTCCATTCCATACAGGGACCCTGAGAAACGGCTACCACATGCAAGGAAGGCAGCAGGCGCGCAAATAACCCACTCCCGACATGGGAAGGTAGTGACGACAAATAATACAGGACTCTTTAGAGGCCCTGTAATTGTAATGAGTCCACTTGAAATTCTTTAACTCTGATCAATTGGAGGGAATTCTGGTGCAGAGCCACTGACCCGTGCATGCTGCAGCTGAAACTCCACTATCGCCTGCTGCTGCTCGCACAGGCTCATGAGGCGGTGAGCGGGAAGGCCGAAGTTACGCTGCAGTGCAGACTGGCGAGCAGCAGCAGGGTGAGAACGCCAAAAGCGCGCACAGGCGCTACAGTGAATGTCACATGCTGTTTGAAGTTGCGGATCAGTCTGGTGATGGCTTCTGGTAACCAGTACTCTTTTTACTGAAACTGCATCAGGGTCCTGGTATGTGGCCACACAAATGCTGGTGCTCAACACCAGGAGGCGTGCGGTTACCCTGCACCAGACCCTGCTAATCCATTCCACACTGTGATTCCTAACTTCAACATCAGGCATACTGGGTCCCGGTCGTCCGGCCGCCGCCCAGACCGTGTCTGGGTCCTGGTCACCGGACTGCCCACCTGACTGTGAAACTACGAATGGATTGTTAAATCTGGTACGAACCTGAACTTTGCAATTCGGGTTCGCTCAACTCTATTATGGATCCTTTGATCGCTACATGTATTACTTGGATAACTGGTAATTCTCGAGCTAATACATGCCGACGAGCATTAGGGGACGGCCGCTCCGCTTTTGCACCCTGCTCCCTCTTATGCTGTGCTGGTGCCTCTGTGCGACCAGCGCCTCTTCCTCCAAACTGCACACTTCAATCGCATGACCTTGATTCCATGTGGGGTCTAGGACCTCATCATCTTCCACCCTCTCCTCAACCCTGCCCTCCTTGCCGGTATGCACACTGCAGAAAGCCATAGCAGTTGGCACCTGTGTTTTTCCAGCATGTAAAGTCTGCAAAGGACATATGGAAATTGTTTTAGAAGTGTATCCAGGCAACAGTTTTCCCTATAAACAGACCTCTCAGTTTGACTTGTGAGGGTATTGCCCCAGAATTACAATATTGTTTAAGTACCTCTTAGCTATTGATAACTGGTTTAAATATAGCAGCTGGTTATCTGGTAGTTTCTAGTGTAGAAAATATCAATCTGTTTTCTATCACTTAGATCTGTGTAACAAGTGTTGTAGGTGTGAAACAATATTACAAGTGACCGATGTAGTAAATTCAAATCAAAGTTCCATTTGCAAAAAAAATTCTCGCCCATCTTCTGTGGGTTATTGCATTTTTAAGATGTAGACTTATTGTATCACACTAGCCATGCACAGGTAGATTGTCTGGCACATTGTTTTGGTGTTTGGTTTTTAACTTTGTAGTTGTGTCTTGACACAATATAGAAATGTACATTAATGCTTCTGTATATGAAGCGATTACAATAACACTTATTTTTCACTTTTTAAAAAAAAATCAGGTTAAACAAAAATTGGTAATTAACCCCTTAAGACCGGAGGGTGTACAATTACGCCCTATTTTAGGCAGCTCTAAACACCGCTAGGCGTAATTGTACGCCCTCCGGTCTTTTCTTACTTACCCGGTCGCGGCGGTCCCATGCCGGCAATCGCGGTGGGGGGGACTCCCAGGGAGCCCCCTCGCGGTAGATCCTCTTCCTCCGGTGCCCCACGGCCATGTGAGAGTGAGGTCCTTGCGAGGACCCCACAATCACATGGCCGGGGGTAGCTGCCTCCTGCATTGCCAGCAGGGGGGCTGCCTGTAATGACAGGTGGTCCCCCTGCTGGCTGGAAATGAAATGAAAATAAAATTAATTAAAAAGTAAAAAGTGTAAAAAAAAAATATATATATACTTAGATCATATATATATATATTATACACACATATACATACAAACACATACACTGTCTAGGTGTATTTTACTATTTATATATATATATATATATATATATATATTAATATCAAATTACATGTAGACTGATACTGATTAAATATATATATAATTGTTATATATATATATATAATATAAAAAAATTAAATATGTAAATACGTTAAAAAATAAAATTAAAAAAATAATTAAAAAAATAATTAAAAAATATATAGATGTTGGTTATTTCGTTCTAACTGTCTTGTGATATTAATATCTATATATTTATATCAAAATACACGTAGAACGAAATAATCTATATATCTATATATATATATACACACACACACACACACACACACACATATATAGATTCACATACGTATATATATATATATATTTATGTAATATTTTTACATAATTAGGTCTCTTAATTAATAACAATTAGCGGGACCTGCCTGACAACCCATGCCGAAAGTAAAGGGAATTTAATTTGCTAGCACTATATTTAACCCTATAACTTTCCAAGACACCATAAAACCTGTACATGGGGGGTACTGTTCTACTCGGGAGACTTCGCTGAACACAAATATTAGTATTTCAAAACAGTAAAATGTATTACAACGATGATATCACCAGTAAAAGTGACTTTTTTGCATATTTCACGCACAAACAGCACTTACACGGACGATATTATTGCTGCAATACTTTTTACTGTTTTGAAACACAAATATTTGTGTTCAGCGAAGTCTCCCGAGTACAACAGTACCCTCATGTACAGGTTTTATGGTGTTTTCAAAAGTTACAGCGTCAAATATAAGGCTTGCGTTTCATTTTTTTCACATTAAAATTCGCCAGATTGGTTACGGTGCCTTTGAGACCCTATGGTAGCCCAAGAATGAAAATTACCCCTATGATGGCATACCATTTGCAATAGTAGACAACCAAAGGTATTGCAAACGGGGTATGTCCAGTCTTTTTTAGTAGCCACTTAGTCACAAACACTGGCCAAAATTGGCGTTTTTTGCATTTTTCACACACAAACAAATACTAACGCTAGCTTTAGCCAGTGTTTGTGACCAAATGGCTACTAAAAAAGACTGGACATACCCCATTTGTAATACCTTGGGATGTCTACTATTGCAAATGGTATGCCATTGTGGGTGTAAATTTCATTCCTGGGCTACTATAAAGTCCCAAAGGCAACGTAACCAATATGGCAAATTTCTATTTCAAATGTAACGTGCTATATTTGACCCTGTGACTTCCCAAAACGCCATAAAACCTGTACATAGGGGGGTACTGTTTTACATGTGAGACTTTGCTGAATACAAATATGTGTATTTTATTGCAGTAAAAGCAAACCGTATTATGACATTGACAGTTAATATGTCATGTAGAACTAAAAAAAAATCTTTTTTTTTTTTAAATCTAATTTTCTCCCATTTTTTCATATTAAATTATGTTTCATAGCTAAATATTTGATATTAAATGAAAGCCCTGTTTCCCCTGAATAAAATGATATGTAATAAGGGTTAAAGAGTTGAATTACGGTTGGACAGACATGTAGCGCAAATGCCAGGTTTTGTTTACATTTTGTTTCGTTCACAACGTGTACATTTGGCTCCGTCCTTAAGGGGTTAACAATATGACATCTTAAAAGGACTTGAAAGGATGCCGTATGATTTTTTAAAAAAGAACACACTACATGAAGATCCTGTTCACTAGAGTGTGAAGTCATGAATGTAACCAGTAAAACTTTGTTTTTACAGCCACTGGTTGGCCCATACATATTTTAAAACTTGTTTAATTTTGTTGTAGCATGACTTGTAGATATGAAAAGCAGGCCCCAAAATGTACTATTTAGCAGATTGGCACCCAGAAAATTAGAATTTTTACCACTGCGCTGTAAGCACACTATTAGACGCTTCTATTTGACTCTCACATAAGAGGTGCACTGCAGGCTGCAAATGTACTATTTAGCAGATTAGCAGCAAAACAATTAGAATTTTTACAACTACGCTATAAGCACACTATTAGACGCTTCAATTTGACTCAGATATGAAGAGCAAGCCACAAAATGTACTATTTAGCAGATTAGCACCCAGAAAATAAGAATGTTTACCACTGCGCTGTAAGCACACTATTAGACGCTTCTATTTGACTTTCAGATATGAAGTGCACCCCACTAAAATACTATTTAGCAGTTTAGCACCCAAAAGATTTTAAGTTTAAAAAATGCAATGTGACAGCAGTATGACGATTCTATTTGACTCTCAGATATGAAGTGTACCCCACTAATGTACTACCCACTAATGTACTATTTAGCACCAAAAAAATGTACTTTTTAAAACTCTGATGTAACCGCGGTATTTGAAGCTTCTATTTGACTCTCAGATATGAAGTGCACCCCACTAATGTACTAGTTTGCAGAATTCTTTCCTAAGTTGTCCCTATCAGCGGCAGCATCCTCTCCCTACACTAATAAGAGCTCATGTGCGTGCGGCGCTACGCGACTCCAGCTTATTTATAGAGACAGGGTCACATGCTGCACTGGCCAATCACAGCCATGCCATTAGTAGAAATATTATAGCGTTAGAATTCGTAAGGGATATTATAGCGTTAGGAGTACAAACATGTATACCTAAGGTTATAATTTTATATGTGTATTTAGAGTTAGCACCCCCTCCCTCCTTCTGAGCTGTAAAATACAAAGAAAAAATATTATTACTTCTGCAGTATAACAGTGAACCGCCACAGGGAGATGCATGAATCGGGGGACAGAACTAGAGGCAAAGGCAGATGAGCTATGCCTGGCTCACAACGAGGTTGTAGAGAAACTGCAAAAGCTGGAAGAATTCCATTCTAGGGTCATGGTTAAAGAAGCCAACCTGGACCAATCATGCTGCAACAACATCCTGATAGAAAGTGTTCCAGAGTGGGCCATGGTGGAGGCCCTTTCTCATGCAACGACAGGTTAGAGGCTACTGTAGTAATGGAAGCAGGGGTTGGAGCGGAGGTACGCAAGTGGGTGCCTGGACATGTAGAGATAGGAGGGGGCATGGACTTACCACTTTAATGTTGAGAACTGGGCTCAGTAAAAGAGATCCATATTGTCAAATGCTTGTTGCGTAGAAATGTTAAATGATGCAACTGGATAATTTGTGTAAT